CACTCGTGCGACTGGGGCAGGACGCCCAGAGGTTTCTCTCTTAATTTGCCTCAAGTAACAGTGGAGACCCCAGAGCGCAGCAAAACTGGGTTCGAATTGGAGAGCCGTCCAGGTACAGACAAATTCATTCATCTGCCCAGTGACCGCTAACTGCGATTCTAGGCGCTGGCAACCCAATTTCAGAGGTGATGGGGAATGACTATCGGGACAGCATGGGCGGCCAGGGAAAAGTATCTGAGAAGGTGCAGTGGGGCTGGGTTTCAGTGGAGAGAAGGGTATTCCAGGTGGGGAGCGCGAGGACAAGGGCCCTGAGGCAGGAGCAGCCCTACCACGTCCCTGAGGGGCTCTAGGTCGAAATCCCCAGAAAGTGCAAAGAGCCCTGCCTTCCAGGGTCCCTCCAGATCCGAGAACTGCCCCCAGAGCTTCCAGCGGGGAGGGCAGGAGGGCAGGACAGGAACCACTGGTGCGCTGGGAACTCGATCTAGACGCTATGGCCTCAGGCCGCCCACAGCCGCTGTCGGGGTGGAGGGGCTTCCAGCCACACAGAAGGCAGGGATGGGAGGGATAGGGCTTATGGGGAGACGCGGGAGCGCCAGCACCCAGAGAGAGAGGGCTGAGACCCCTGCAGGGGCACAGGAAAGCACCAGAGGGCGCGGGCAGGACAGCGAATGTGTGCCAAGCCACCCTGCGGGCTCCACTGAACACCAGCCGTGGGAGCGGCTAGTGCCCAAAGGCCGCGAGGAAAAGCTGACAGAAGGTGGGGGCTACATGGCTGTGGGAGTACAGGCCGCCTATCAGCGATCTTGAAGCACCCTGTGCCCTTCCTGTCCCAACACCCACCCCCTCTGGAATCCCGTGGGGGCTTGGCCCGACCCGGGCTGAAGGTTTCACTCCGCGCCAGCTCTGGCCTGGCACAGTCAGCGCTGGAAATGCTGTAGAATGAAGGAAGCCCCTTCCAGGAACAGTGGGAGTCATAGTGCTAAACTCACAGTGCTAAACTCGGGGGCTGCCTCCGGTCCCTTCCCTGGGGCTGCCACCTAGTGGCGACCTGCGTGGTGGCCTCCCGCGCTCCCAGGTGCCCAGGTAACTGGAGCTGCTGGGCCGTGCCTAGCCAGGTGGGTTTCCAACGACTTCCACCTGGCCAGATCACCCTCACTCTCTCCATGGGAGCTGTGCCCGCTGGGATCTGGGACCCTTGCCCAGTGGTTTGCAACAAAGGGAGGGAGGAGTCATTTCCTGGCAGCCTCACTGCTGGAGCTGGCGGTGGCCAGAGCAACAGGCTCACTGCGGCCAGCGCTGTCCTCCTCTAGGTGCCCAGAGGCAGGTGTACCGTGAGGCCAGCAAGCGGCAGGGGTACTGTCGGGAAGAGGTGCTAAAATGGCTTGTCTTGGGCACCCCTCCCCTGCGCCTCCTCCATTCCAAAAGGCCCTGCAATTTGTGTTCTCCACTCCTAAGGTGGCCACCTTGGTCATGGACAAGCTCATCTAGCACATGGTTTTGTGATTTTGTGGGCCAGGTCCAGGTGATGCTTTATTGCTATTCCAGTGGGATGGGCAGATGCCCCTGAGCCCCTGCCACTGTTGCTAATGACATCTCCATTAGTGCCACATGTGAGCACCCACCCCTGCTGACCAACCTCTCAGACTCCTTTCAGGACATGACTCAAACTCACGCTGCGAGCCAGGCCCTTCCTGCCAGGCTTCTGTCAGGCTTCTGTCCTTTCCAGGCTCTCCCATGTCCACCGGGTGAACTGGGTCCTCCCCAGCAGCCCTAGGGAGCTCACGCCAGCAGTAGCACTTTTATTTTATCTGTGCTACCCACCAAGTGCCCACCACGCTTCGCATGGATATTTAATCCAGAGGTGCTGTGAGAGAGGTACAGCTATTGTTTCCAGTTTATAGCTGGGGATAATGAGGCATGGAGAGATGGGGAGGTGTTTTTTTTTTTTTGAAATGAGTATTGCTTAGTTGCCCAGGCTGGAGTGCAGTGGCGCAATCTCAGCTCACTGCAAGCTCCGCCTCCCAGGTTCACACCATTCTTCTGCCTCAGCCTCCAGAGTAGCTGGGACTGCAGGCGCCCGCCACCATGCCTTGCTAATTTTTTGTATTTTTAGTAGAGACAGGGTTTCATAGTGTTAGCCAGGATGGTCTCGATCTCATGACCTCGTGATCCGCCCACCTCGGCCTCCCAAAGTGGTGGGATTACAGGCGTGAGCCACCGCGCCTGGCCTGTTTGTTTTTTGAGATGTAGTTTCACTCTTGTTGCCCAGGCTGGACTGCAATGGCACAATCTAGGCTCGCTGCAACTTCTGCCTCCCAGGTTCAAGTGATTCTCTTTCCTCAACCTCCCAAGTAGCTGGGATTACAGGTGTCTGCCACCATGCCTAGCTAATTTTTTTATTTTTTATATTTTTAGTAGAGATGGGGTTTCATCAGGTTGGCCAGGCTGGTCTCGAACTCCTGACCTCAAGTGATCTGCCCACATTGGCCTCTCAAAGTGCTGAGATTATAGGCATGAGCCACCACGCCCAGCCTTGTTTTGTTTTTTAAAGCATTTTGGCTGAGATGACACAGATGGAAGTGGCAAACCTCACTCCCTGGCTGATCCTGCTAGGCTCTTCTTTCCTCTCCACCCAAGGTTCCCTCTGCTCACAGAACCCCCATAATCTCCTACCCTCCAGATATCAGCTTAGAGATTCTCTCCCCAGGAGGCCTTCTCTCACCCCTCTGCTGGGCTCACCCCAGCCCGCCCCAGGTTTCTCCTCAACCCAAGGGCCAGTGCACTTCCCAAGAGTAGGGACCGGGGTGGAGTGTATCCTTACTGTATCCTAGGTGGCCAGAGCTCCCCTAAAGCCTGCACCCGACACTTGCCCACCTAGCTGTCTTTAATGCTCCTCTGATTCCAGACCACTCCTTCCAAGTAACCAGTAAAACCTGAAAATCCTTGAGTTGAAGATAACTGTGGGTTACTTGGTTAAAGTCCTTTACGCAATGGGAGAGTGGAGGAAGAAATATTTTTAACTGGGGGTAACTGGCAATGGAAACGATGTTTGCTCCCCTGCCATTCAGTCTTCAAATGGTGGTCCACAAGCCTGGAGGGGGATATTCTAAGGGGAGCCTCCTCCTTCAGCCTTTTTCTCCCAGGAGCTAGAATCAGTCCCTTCCCAAGATGCAGATGCTGCAGGCGGACTTGTGGGTGCAGAACTGAGTCAGTCAAGCTAAGTGGCTTGGGCTGGGGATGAGAGGGAAAAGATCCACAGAGTTTTTTAGGCGCTTAAAGAACAATTCACTGTCTTGGGGGAGGCCTATGGAGGCAAATTGGCCTCAACCATGGAGAACAAGGTCTCAGGTTCCTCCAAGCCCTGCTGGGCCAAATATCTTGAATGATTTATTCTCACTTGTTACAAC